CCCTGGATGGGGAACCTTGATGGGGAGCTTGGCCTGTGCCAGCCGCCCTCCTTGCGTGGTGGAAAAGGTGACTCACATCTCCAGGAAGTTGAACAGGAAAGTTCCCACGGAGGCGTGTCTGGGGAGGCTGTGGAAAGTGTCACCTATGTCATTTTGAGGGCAATTTGGAGGTTTAGAGGTGTTGAAGAAAGATATGGAGGTGACCCTGGGGCTGCAGCAAAGGAGCAGGGTCGGGAGGAGATGAGGCATTCACGMACCAAGGGCCCGCACAGGCAGTGACAGGCAGCCATGGTTCCTGGACTAAGTCACAGGGGAAGGAGGATCGTGAGGGACAGTTGCACCCTGGCCCTGCCGCTCGTTTGCTGTGCGCCTTCACTGCCCCCATCTGGAGGACAGGGTGGGGCCATTTGGTCTCCTGAGAACCCAGCACCTGGCATGAGGCTACTCAAGTATCCAGATTGCACTTGGCTGGCAAGGAGATGGGGGCAAGCTGCAGTCGCCTTTGGGAGTGCAGTGGCTTAGTGTGTCCAGAAGCACACAGTAGCTCTTGATGGCACTGACGTACAGACTGAAGTGCAGTCCAGGCTTCCCCAGTGTCCACTTTCAGCAGTGTTTCTGACACCCGAGTTGCTCAGGAACCAATTCGAGCCACGTGAAGCACGAGGTGGGGGGTGGATGGGGAGAGACCTGGGGCGTCTCTTAGGGGCCCGAGTCATGGGTGCAGCTGGCTCAGGAAGGAAGGGCGGCCCTGATCCTGGACAGTGGGCAGGGCCCTCCTCCCACCTCTGCTTTGGGCCTGTCCCATTTCCKGCCCACATGGCCAGCCCAGTGTGGCTTGTTCTCCTGCTGACGTGTTGAACTGTTGAGAGAATTCCAAATGTTCCTTTCACATGCTGCTGCCAGGCCACAAGTCCCCCACCTGCGTGTGCAGTTTCTTGCTAGACGCAGGCACTTGCATGTGATCCCAATTTGTCTTCTAACTCCAGACTTTCATCCAGATCCTGTTGCTGTCCACTGCCTGTCACAGGAGGAAGGCGAGGCATGTGATCCTTTGCTCTCTTTCTTTGGGGTCCTGATAAGGGGCATAAGGCTCTCACTGGTGGTGCCCTTGTATCTAGCTACCCTTTGGCTGTCTGAGTGTTCAGCCCCCACCTTCCTCCATCTTGTCCTGGGCACTAGGAAATGTATTTTTTCTGGCTGGAACCTGAAGTTCAGGTTGGTTCACAGAATATTGTTGCCCCAAGCTTGGGGACAGATGCACTGTCTGATCCCTGTTGTGCAGCAAGTGTGGCGGAGGGGAGGAGACGGATGCTGGTGTCCTGCTGGAGCTTGAGGGACTCAGGTGTGGTGGGGACTCCGCTGTATGACACCGCTCCTCSGTTCCCGCTGGCATGTCTCCCCCACTAGCGGCATCATGATTTGTGTGATCTTCAGAGGAATCCGCTTGGGTATATCAACTAGAAGCTCCGGCAAACAACGGGGAGGGGACAGCTCCAAGAGACCCTGTACCAATATGGCCAGGGTTTCTTTTGCCATCAGTGTCTATCTCCATTCAGATTTGAGGGAGGGGGTCAGTCCAGCTCTCAACACCTCTGTCCCATATCCCTCACTGATCTGTGACCAAGAGACACTCAGAGAAAGGACAGCCTGGGAGGGACCTGAGTCTCTCAGGAACTCARTCCTCTAGCAGTTTGGAAGGGCTTGCAGCCTGGCCAACTGCAGAGCCCTGAGGATGCTGCTGAGGTCCCTGTGGGGATGAGGTGGGACTCCCCCCCTGTGCTGTCATCTTGGAGGCCGTGGTAAGTAGCTGACCCCCACTTTCCTCCTGCAGAACCGGCCCTCAGTGATCACCTGCGCCTCTGCTGGTGCCCGCAACTGCAACCTCTCTCACTGCCCCATCGCGCACAGTGGCTGCCCTGCGTCCGGGCCCRCCAGCTACCGGAGGCCGCCCAGCGGTGAGTGTCCTGGAGGGGTTCCCCACTTCCTCACCCTGCCCGTGGTCTCTGAGAGTCACAGATCAAGTCTCGGGCCAAAACCCCTCGCCTTGAGCACATACATACCCAGCACCATGCAGAGCTTGAGGCAGCGGTGTGCTGCTCCTGGCCCTCCGTGACCTYGTGCTCTAGTTGTGGGGAGGTCAGAGTCCTCATTTACTGCCACATGGCCACTGTCGTGCAGGCACATCACAGAGCAGCGGCCTGTCCTCGTGCCCAGCAACAGAGTGGGGAGGGCAGGGGGTCCGCCCCAGAGCCCTATTGGTGACCCATGGTGCTCTGCAGATGACCTGTCCTGATTGTTCTCCTGCTTCCTCACAGCCACCACTTGTGACCCTGTGGTGGAGGAACACTTCCGTAGGAGCCTGGGGAAGAACTACAAGGAGCCCGAACCAGCACCCAACTCCGTGTCCATCACGGGCTCCGTGGATGACCACTTTGCCAAAGCTCTGGGCGACACATGGCTTCAGATCAAAGCAGCCAAGGATGGTGCATCCAGCAGCCCYGAGTCGGCCTCACGCAGAGGCCAACCGGCCAGCCCCTCTGCCCACATGGTCAGCCACAGCCACTCCCCATCCGTGGTCTCCTGAAGGGATGCCACCCTCCGGCAGCACGTGGATCTGCATGGTTTGCCTGAGCTTTGAACAGTCAGTGCTTCAAAACAAAAAAAAAAAAAAATTGGGGTGGGGAGGGAGGGATAGGGATGGTTTATTCGCAAAAACCATGTTGTTGGGATTTCTTTTCTGTTTTCATACTTGCTTGGTATTCTTCTGCAAGGGGCCTCAAATGTGGCAGCAGGAACGACGTGTGGAACATCGGTCTCATGTAGCATCCTTACTTCCTGCCTCAGTTACCAAAGAAACCTCGGATGCAGGCCTGCCGGGGCCCAGACTCTGTGGCGCACATTCTCAGTCACAAGCCACGACGACGTTGGGGACCCAGATGCTTTATGCTTTCTTCCATTTGCTTCTCGAGCGCCGGGCGTGCGCAGCTCAGCTTCCATGGCGGGTTTCGGGGGTCCGTGTGTGCGCGCGTGTATACTTGAAGAGAACTGCCGTGTCTGATTTGCACTTTTGGAGGACTGAGTTGCCTGCCTGGCAGCTTTCCGCGAGACGTGAGTGCTCTGAGGGCAAACTGCTGAAGAACAAAGGGTTCAAGGATGACATTTCCGACCATTTGTGCATTTTTGTTGCTATCGAATTTAGACAAAACTGCTTTGGAAGGGGAAGTCTCATACCGGTTATAGGTCTTTCTCTCTAGATTTCAGGTGCTTGCAACGGGACTGCAGACTCCACCGATCACGGGCATTTACCTTTCCTGAACACTGAGGTGTGTGAGGCTCGAGCCGGGGTGGGAGGATTCCAGAGTGCTTTAACCATGACGCATGTTTTAATGGAGAAGAAAAATAGCTGGTTTCTATTAATTGTATAGACAGTAAACACAAACCTTACTACTTACTAGCTTCTTTTCAGAATTAGTTTATTTTTGTCAGTTACAGTCCTAGATATACTTACTGCTGGTACAGTTGTACTCTAAGATTTGTATTTGATACTCACTTTACTTGCAAGGAGGGCTGGGGACAGCTGGCAGGCCCGAGGGAGGCTCACTGGAGCAGCTGGGCCACCGTGTCGGGGGCCAGGGTTTGCACCGCGAGCTGACACGGTCGCTGGTTTTCTGCATCCCGTCTGCTTTTACGAGCTCCCAGGGGAGCATCTTCCAACTCCCCGGATGCGCAGACTGCTCCCTTCCACCTCCCTTGGCTGAACAGCAGATTGCTGACAATCTGTGATAAGGTATTTTGATGCTTCCTCGCGTTCTGGGGCCCAGGCAGTATACATTCCTGACTTTATACACTTATTGCCACATTTATTATCGTCTGCTATATTAATAGCTACTAACTAGAAATTAGATGAAAGCGGGATAGACATGGCTGTGGACACCCCACAGCTGCTTTTCCTGGTCCATGAGCTGTTCTGCTCCCCCACCCCTCAAATGTGCTGCATTTGGCCTGGCCTGCTGGAGGGCTCAGGACGCCATGCACACGGCCACCTCATCCAAGGCTTTATGGACTCCTTCACACAGCAGCCCTTGAGGCTGGCTGCCAGGAGGAGAACAATACAGGTTAGCTGTTGCATTCTGGGGACTGGCTCTTGTAGTCACAGGGTGGCTGCAGGCCTTTAAAAAGTGGAAGAAAAGCCCTTCTCCTCTTGCCTCTGCACACATTTCACTCCCACTTTACTGGGCTTCCAAGCTTTGGCATTCGGGCCCCTATATTTTCTGTAGGAGAAAAATTGTTGAGAAACACTTTTTTTATATAGGTAACTTTAAGACCATCATTACGCTGTGCGTAAAGAATGTACAGAGAAATTTGTAGGTATTTTTTGAAGAACAATTAATTTGTTAATGATATGTAGCTATTTAATTTTCCCCATTTCCTATCGTAATCATTTTTTTTGTTGTTTGGGAAAAAAAAAGTTGATCTTTTTTTGTTGTAGATTTTGTCTGTAAAGTGCAGGCACACAGTTATTCTATGAGGACACTGCATCTGCATTAATAGCCACTAGTTTGTTATTGCTACAGGCTACTGAGCATTGTAACAGGAACACGACCGCACCGCGGATGGGCTCTGTGGAGAACCCACCTCGGACACTTCTGTCGGTGCACAGGGTCGTCACTTGGGAGGGATGGCAGTGCCGGTGGCCGGGTCCCCGGTGCGCTGACCTATCTGGGATAGGCAGTTCCCTGGAGGGAGCTTTGGGCAGAGGGAGCAGCGGAAAACCAAATGTTTCCCCAGCGCCCTCCCTGAGAAGGGGCTCCGAGGTTCTCCCCAGGGCCGCGCTGTCCGCGGTGCGTTCTGCCCCTTCTCTCCATGTTTGTAAATCTGTAATATACCATTCTCTGTGGCCTGTTTTTCCTGGAAGAAGAAGAAAAAAAAGGTTTGGCAGGCCATCTTTTTTTTTTTTTTTTTTTTTGTACTTAAAAGTAGCCTTAAGAACAATAATAAAGTGCTCTTAAACCACAGGCTGTATGTGTGGCTCTTCAGTCCTCGGTGACAGTGTGGTGGCTGTGCACCACTGAAGTCCCAATAAAGGTAGTTTCTTGACTGTCTACTTTAGGTCAAGTGTTGTTTCTAAGTCTCCGTGGAAATCCTGCTGCTGTAAGAGGTACCCCAGGACTCCATTTTGACTTTGGTTCTAGGCCTAAGTCAGAAGCTGAACCCAGATAAAGTGTTAGGGGTGCCTTTAGCTCTGCACCTGTTCAGGGGCAGGCACCTATGCCAAGGTCGTGCCTGCTATTCACAGCCAGCACCAGTGTGCAAATCAGAATGGAGGGGGAAACCAGCCTACCTTACTGTAGATGCACAGACAGTCACCCTGCAGAGAGGACCCTTGAGGTGAGGGGGAGGAAGGGAGCCAAACTGCCTTCCCTAGACCGGCCCCAGGACTCTCCCCCAGCTTGTGGAAGCCTGAGCGAAAAGGTTCCAGTCCTCACGGGTAAGGTGTTGGACTAGGAGGTGGAGGAGACCCCCCCACCCAAGGCAGAACACCACAGTGGGGGTTGCAATGCACCCTGGGAACTTGGGTGCGGCCTCCCTACAGTGGCTCAGGGCAAGAGCTGGTTTCCCATTTCCCCAGTTGATTCCTGAGTCCTTACTGTTACCTCTGAGGGCCAAAGCAGAAGGATCCTGTGACATTAGGAAAAAAAAAAAAAAAAAAAACCAAAAGAACTTCACATGGAGGGAACAGAGCCCCAGATCAATGGCTGTGCCAAAGCCAAGGTTATTATTGAAGTCAGAGCTGGGGGAAATGGTGACCCATGAGAATGCAGAATGCTGGCAGCAAAGGGAGCACCCCAGTCTTCAGGAAGAAAGGGAACAGGGAGGTGACAGGAGCCCAGAATCAGTCTGGGGTGACAGTCCTGCTCCAGTGACTGAGTGTGGCCTCAGCAGGCAGCCATAGAGAATCAGGTTCCACACGAGGCGTGGCTGGTTCAGATGGTCTCATCGTCGCTCATGTCCCAGATCTGCGTGGAGAAGGGGAGACGCTTAGCAGAGGTGTTGGGCTGCCGGATGGTACTCACTGATGCTGTTGTCATGACAAAAGGATCTCCTACTTGCAGTCAGAGCGCTCTGCACCTCCCACACTGGTTCCCTTGTCATTGAGGCACTGACCCCCCATTTCTGGTACAAGGAATCAAATCTCAGGAGTTATACTTCCCTTACCCAGGGTCTCACTCGGATGTGAATGGGGAGGGTGGCAACTTTAGGCTGCTACACTCTCATCACTCCACCAGAGGATGTTACCCAGCCACAGGCAGTAAGGTAAGCTCTGTGGGGTGGGGGTGGGGTGCTGGCTGCAGAAAGCCCTGCCTAGTGGCCCATAAGATGCACCCCACGTCAGGAGGCTGCCTCACGTCAGGAGGCTGCCTCACGTCAGGAGGCTGCCTCCCGCCCGGCAGCCGGCTCCACTGTCCAGTCAACTTTAGTCCAGTTGCTGACTCTACAGCTAATGCCAGGCAACTGCTGTTGCTCAAGAGCAAACTCCACTCCTGCCAGGCCCAGAGGTGGCCTGGGGAGGACCTTGGACACAGCCAGATCCTGCCTTGCGCCCTAGACTGTCTGTGGGGAGCCTAAGACTCTTCTGAGTCTGACCCAATGCTGTGAGTTTGGGGAGTGCTCCGCTGTAGCATCACAGTTTGAGAAGAGGAAGGAGGGATGAGGTGGAGGCCCGGCCTGCCAGCCCCACAGGCTCGACTTTCCCTGCGACTCTGCCCATCAAACACCCATGGCCCTGGGGCGGGGGGGTAGAGCAGGCTGAGGCTTTGTACAGCACCCTGGCTCCCTGGAGGCTGGTCCCCAAACCTGTGCCTCCAGACTTTCAAAATCTTTACAACTGGTTGCAAAAGACCCCCAGCCCCAGCAGAGCTGCCAGGATGAACMGTGTGTTTACATGGGGCGGCCTGAGGACAGCCCGGGGAGCGGGGAGGCCTGGCCAAGGTAAACAGCCACACCAGCTTGCCTTTCAAAGGCAAGGATGTGGAAAATAAATAGAGGGAAATTTCCTCCCTCCTGGGCTGAGGGGGAGCGGGTGACCCTCTCCTGCCCCTCCATTTCTACACAGGCCCACTGCCTGAGCACAGGAGGGTGGGTGGCAGAGTGAGATCCCGATGCTGGCGAACCAGCACCATGAATGAATGGGCAGTGTGGGGTCCAATGACCCCAGTGTGTCATGTTGGGACCTGCTTCTTGGTGCAATTTTCCCACCAGCTAGAAACACCCCCTGGGGTGGAGTAGGGGCCCCAGTTCCAACAGAGGCTGCACTGCTGAGCCCCGGAACCTGATCTGTGGGTTCTGAAGGTCTGAGTGGGGACACTGAGTCACTAGAGGGTTTGCCAGCATCATTCAACCACTCTTGACTGTCAGTGAACTCAATCATGTAGCCCTCCCTGTGCCAGGCACTTTGCAGACCTGGAGCAAATGTGCCCTCCTCATACCTGCCTGTGAGGTCCAGGGGAAAATCAGCTCAGAGAGGCAAGACAACTTACCCAGGACCACACAACAGGCAAGCTGGGAGCATGCACGTGGTGTGTGGAACAGGCTGAGCACGCTGCATGGAGGAGGGGCCACAGAGGCACCGGGCCAAGAGGAAGGGGAATGAAGAGCCCTGTGCACTGAGGCTTTAGGACCTTCTGCCCAGCCTCTTCAGGGCATCAGCTAGGGCAGACTGGGTACCACTGAATGGCACACTCTGCCAGTGGGTGGGCAGGGCTGTTCACACTCTGGGCCAAGGACAAACTTTATGGGAAATCAAGAGCATCCAGACATCCTCTGACCACTTCTTCATCTACTGTCAGAGCTTAGCTATGGGGAAGGGGTGCCCCCCCCCACTCACTGCAGGGCCAGGGAGATGTGGACTAGGTGGCTGTGGGCTGGGAGGGAGCCTGGCTGGCCCCTTGCTCCTGGACAGTTTTAACCACTCAAAGGGGCTGGCCAGTAGGGCTGTTCTGTTGAGCCTGGCTGCAGAGGATCCTGTGGGACACCCAAAGGGCTTATTGTGACACAGCCCTGGAGCAGGGGGCTGGCGGGTGGTGGATTTTACATAACTGCATGGGGTTTTTCCAGAACCAGCTCCCTAGCAGGGACAGGCTCTGTGGARCACCCTGGCCTTCCCCCTCACCAGGCACAAAGGCAGCACCTGGAAACACAGACTTCATCTCTTCCTTGAGCATGGACCCTGAAAGGGCTGAGATCTGCCCTCTCAAGTCCTTAGTTCCAAGTACAATGCCTGGCCTAAGCAGAGGTGCCGTGGGTGTCCTCTTAACAAAGGAAGGTTGAGGTAAATTGGCAGAGATTTTAAAAATGTTAATACTCAATGCTGGTAAGAAGACACATGGCCACAGGTGGGGTGTAAATTGGTACTACATGTTTTAAAGGAAGATACAAAGCTTTTTTTTTTTTTTTTAAAAAGTCTACCTTCTAAAGGAGAAATTAATAATCTCTTTGTGCAGAAAATATTAAAGAACTAGAAAATCCAAGAAAACAAATGCTAGGTGGACATGGCAAGAGAACTCTTTTAAGACGGCATCATAAAATTACCAAGTTCCAACCCCCCCMCCATGTGTGAACAATGTCTAGTTCAAAAGCAGAATGAAAGAGGTAAATCCATTGTAAGAGCAGTGAAAAAGATAAGCTGCTGGGAAATAACCCTGAGGTCAAATGTGCAAAATTTATGTGGGGGGAAACCCCTCAGAACATTCCTACAGCAAGCCTCCAAGAATTTTAACTTCAGAAAGACAAAAGTGAACTGGAACAAATGAGCAACACCCCTTGTTTTTGCACAGGACAAGTCAACATCAGTAAAGAGTCAAGTTTTCCCAAGTGAAAGTAGAAGTTTTAAAAATCAACAACTATTTCTTCTGGAGCTAGAGGAGCTGGTTCTAAAGTTTTGTGGAAAAAATAAGCAAGAATCCTAGTAAAACTTGGGAAGAGGGACAGTGATGGCTCCCCTGCTCCACGTTTGCAAGTCAAGGCAAACAGCATCAAAGTCTCCAAAACCAAGAGTGGGAGGCGTTGCTATGACAACAGCTACAACTAGAACAGAGTGAGCCTGGAAACAGTAGGATGTAGAATCCATACACGTCCAGAAAGCATTTCACCATGAAGGTTTGGAGAATGGGAGCTCAAGTCATTAGAAAAAGATGGACTTTCAAATAAATGGGGAGAATTAGTAATTTGAAACAAGATAAAAATTGATTCCATGTTTTCTGCTGTATCTTGCCATCAACTCCAAACGGAACAGAGATCTCAGTGTTAAAGAAAACAAAGCCATGGGCACGCAAATGGGTACTTCCTTTACAATGTGGGAGGGGGGAGCCCTGTGAACTTGAGCCTATAAGAAAGAAAACGGGTGCACTGACCCTGAAGAAACGTGTGTACTTTTGCATGGGAGACCCAATAAACAGAGTAATAAAAAAGGAAAAAAAAAACAAAACCCAAACTACAAACCAGGAGAAAACATACCTGAAAGGGCCACCACTACTCCCTAATTGACAATTCTCAGAAATCAAGAGGAAAAGACCAATAAGTTGACTTTTAAAAAGGCCAATGATGTCAACAGTTCACAGAAAAATCGACAAATGACCCTCTGACACAAGAAAACGTGCTCAACCTTACTCTTAAGAACAGAAATGCAGACATTTCTTACGACACAAAAGAAAAACCTGACATGCATTTCACGGGAATTGAAGCATCTGACCTTTGAAAGAGACATCAGAAATGAAAAGGCAAAGGAAAGTCACAAGCGAGGAGAAAATGTCTACGATGTCTATGGGAAGGATTTCAATTAAGAATTCTCAACCTTCAGTTAAACACTCAAAACTGATTTTCCTTAAAACTGGCAAGGGAGGACACAAAATGGCCACCAGTGCTTATCAACCTTCGTCCTTAAGGAAATGCAGAGCAGGACCCCAAAGGGACACTGCACAGCACCTGTAGCAAAACCAATGGGCAGCGGGCTCTCTGTGGGGTGCAGAGCAAGCAGGGCTCCCTGACCCTGCTAGAAGGAAAGCAATGGCAAAACCACTCTGGGAAAGGTCTGGTGATTCATAAAGCCAAACATACTTCCCCAGTGACCCAGCCATTAAACTCCCATTTACCCCAAGGGGGAGACAAGTCCACAGAGGCTTGTGCCACAAGGTTGAGAGCAGCTTCCTTCCCAGGGGGCACAAACAAACTGGCTCAAGTGGCCACCAATAGGAAAACAGAAGAAATAAACTGGAATATCCATACAATGGAGCTACAGCATGGCTCTGGAATGTTCCCCCAAAGCCCATGTGTTAGAAGTTCGGTCTCCAGCACGGCACTTCTAGGAGATGGCGGAATCTCTAAGAAGTGGGAGGCCTTCCGTCCATGGGGAGCAGACCACTGAAGGGGACAGTGGGATCCTGGTCCCTTCCTCTTCCTCTTGGCATCCTCACCATAAGGTGAGCAGACTGCCCTGTGGGGTGTTCCCACCATGCTGTGCTCTCTCAGTGCAGTCCCCAAGGCAACAGAGCCGGCTGACCATGGCTGAAACCTTCCACAGCGTGAGCCAGAACAGCCCTTTTCTCTTTATAGGTTGGTTGCCTTGGAGGGGGGGAGGTTGTTACAGTGACTGGAAGCCACCACAAATGGGCACTGCCTACCCATGGAAGGAACAAATTACTGATGCACATGACATGATGGCATCTTTATCCTGAGTCAAAGCAGYCCAGCAGGGAGGGAGGGAGGGAGGGAACAGGGCAGCACTGGTCAAAGGGTACAGGGCTCCATCA